TTCAATATGGTTTGTACCTAAATGTAAAGAAAACAGAAATCCTTACCACTGAACTAATCAACATCAATATAAATGAAGAAAAGGTTGACATTGTCCAAGACTTAATTTTTGTAGGATCAACCGTTAACGCTCATAGAAGCAGTAGTCAAGAAATCAAACGACATATTGCATTAGGCAAATGTGCTGTACAAGACCTTTTTAAAGCATTGAGCAAAGATGTCAATTTGAGGACTAAGGTGAGTCTGACCCAAGCCATGGTATTTTCAATAACCGCATATGCATGCAAAAGTTGGATAGTGAATAATAAGGAAGACCTTAAAAGAATTGATTCATTTGAGTTACGTGTTGCAAGAAAATATTAAAAGTACCGTGGACTGCCAAAAGAACAAAACAGTGTGATTAGAAGTAGTACAGCCAGAATGCTACTTGGAAGCCCGGATGGCGAGGCTTTGTCTCTCAAACTTTGGTCATATTTTCAGGAGGGTCCAGTCCCTGGAAAGGGATTAATATGTTTGATAAAGCGGATGATTGGAGAAAAAGAGGAAGACCCCCAACAGATGGATTAGCACAGTGACGGCAGCTATGCGCTCAGACTTAGCAACAATTGTGAGGTTGGTGCAGAACCAGGCAATGTTTCCTTCTGTTGTGTGTAGGGTCACTATGAGTCGGTACCACCTCGATGGTACTTCACAACAGAAATAAACTTCCAGTATCATGTAAACACATCTGAGTGATAGAGAAATTTAATGTGTAAAATTGTCTCAATAGGTATGCTTTTAAGATAATTTTGATGTAAGTTTTTGCTGACAAACTGTGAACATTCTAGAGATTAATCTTTTATACCTTATCTCCAGAATTGTCATTTTAGGGAAGATACATACCTTTTTTGATTATTAGGGAAACTTGAACTGTGTTGGACTTTGTGTAATATGGTTGCTACTAGCCACTGTGGCTATTTAAAGTAAGTGAAATTAATTGTGCCTCACAGTACAGGTGTATGTATGCATTGACGATGTTACAAGTTCAGTTGCAGACCTCTACAATGAAGCACATAACTGTGAGTTATATGGATTTGTGGATTGCCCAGTGCATATAAAAGTTATGTTTGCACTATACTGTAGTCCCTGTATGGCACTGTAGTATAAGCAGTGGAACACAAGATCAGTTTGAACCACAAAAATTGGTAGTTCCAAGTCACCAGCAGGTTCTCGGAAGCACTATACAGCTTCACTGTGAGTCAGGCCAACTCGATGGCACTTAACAAATAGTATTGGTATGGCACTGTAGGATAAGCACTAGATTGTTAATCACAAAGTCAGTAGTTCAAACCCAGCAGCCACTTCTCCCGGAAACCTTAGGTTCTCTATGAGTCAATATTGACTCAACAGCACTTAACAACATCAATTATAATGTTTTTGGATTCCTGGTGTGGTAACATAGGATAAACCTTGGACTGCTAACTGACAAATCTGTAATTCAAATCCACCTTCCATTGCACAGAAACCATGCACAGGGTAACTAGGAATTGGAACCACTCCAAGGCACTTAACAACTACAACATAGTCTGTCAAGTGGCAACAGTGCAGTACAGCGAATTAAGTAATGTGACCCTCTTAGCCCTAGTCTTAGTAACTCCCACCACATGACTTCCTGGGTTGTCAATTCTCTCACCTAGGCCTGATAGAGGAGGTAAGACCCCTCTGCCACTCCAGTTTTACAAAGAAAAGGTAGAACTATTGTGAGAATTACTAAACTGTGACACAGACACGAAGTGAGCACATGCAGATGGAAAAATATGCCCATCAAATTACTTGCTTCACTCAAGGTTGCTAGTAACCTTCTAATTATAGAAAACAGTATCTGCTAAGTATAGTAAGACAAAGTATGGCTGCAGTCAAATTTCATATGTCACACTGTGCACCTCAATATCTATGTCTCTTTTTCCACCATCCCTACACCCATTAATAGGAGATCCCACAAGGTGATCTGTGTGACTTGTACAGTATTTGACACATAAGAGCCAAATTAATAAATTGCCCTTTTTTCAAACTCATTTTAAAATGGACTTATAGATACATATGTTTATTTTTATTGTACTATTGTAAATTGTAAAACAATTTTGCAATCCAAAAATATTTTATATAGCCCATGAAATGTTTGATGATCCTTCCTAATTTAAGTATCACTTTTGGAGTCCTGGTGTGGCGCTGTGGGTTAATGCACCAGACTGCAATGCCATTTGAACTGCAAGGTCAGTGGTTCAAGCTCACTAGGTGCTCCTTAGAAACCCTATAAAACGTCATTGTGGGTCGGAGCCAACTCAACTGCATTTAACAACAAGAATCATTGATTTATGGCAGACATAGAAATACTACTCCTCTGGAAGCTCACAACTGACAAGTGAGCCAGAAAGCTCATGCTATTGTAGTTGTCTGAGGACTCCTCTAAGTAGAAATAAATCATAAGTAGAC